CCCTTTCCCAGTTTTTCCCATTTTTTAAAGTTTTTTTTTTTTTTTTTTAGATTAGTCTTGGGGCTGGAGATGGCTCAGGGTTAAGAGCACTGACTGTTCTTCCAGGGGTCCTGAGTTCAATTTCCGGCAACCACAAGATGGTTTACAACTACCTTGAATGAGATCTGGTGCCCTCTGCTGGCAAGCAGGCAGAAGACTGTATACATAATAAATAAAATCTTAAAAAAAAAAAAAAAAAGGATTAGTCTTGTGTAGCCTAGCTTGTTAGCTTGCCTTAACTCACTATGTAGTAGAGGGTGACCTCAAACATAGTTCCAGGCCAGTAAGGGTTAAATTGTGAGAACCTGTTTCAAAATGAAAAGTAAAAGTGTTTTTTCCCCTCAGCCATTTTGCCAGATGGTTCCAATGGGTTGATCATTCGTAGGATGGTCTGTTTCTGATGTTCTTTTTATCCTGACTGACTGTAGGAGAGTTTGTGTGTTTTTGTGTGACACACAGTGTGGACATGGCCACTGTTGCAGTAAACTGTGCCCCTCAGTAATTCTTCATGCTGTTTTTTGTAAGCATTCGATTTGGTCAGCAGGTCCTGACTGAACACCTGCTGTATTCCGAGCTTGGAGATTCGCCAGGGCTGGGCTCTGGTCTTGGGGAGACAACCGATTATAGACGCATATATAAAATGTGAAGTGATAAACCACAGGACATGGCAGCTCATTCCTGTAACTCCAGCACTTGGGAGGCTGAGGCAGGAGGACTGCTCAGACTGCATGGTGAGTTCAAGGCCAGCTTGGACAACAGAATGAGAACCTGTTCCAAATAACAAAGACAAAAAACAATAACAGGTGCTGTGACAGCACAGGTAAGAGGAAACTGAGACGAATGTTGGAGGCTGAAGGGGCCCAGGAGAAAGTGTCAGAGGCCATTTTCGATAGTTTGGTCAGGGAGGGAAGAAGTAGCGGTAGCCATTTGGGGGAGGGATGTTTGCAGCTTGTTAGAGAGTGCCTGGTGAAAAGTGGGCACTGTCCCAGGTGTTGGAGATGCAGCTATGTACAGGGCTTGAATTTCACTTGAGAAACAGAATAATGAATTAACTACCCCCCACCCCAAAGCAGAGACACCCTCTTAATTGCTCCAGTGTCTGCTCTAAGAGCGCCACACATTGTCCTTGTGCTGGTGATAGACCCCACGGTGACAGCACAGACACAGCCTGCCCTCCTGTTTTAACTTGCTGCTGGGAGGAGGCTAGCAAGAGGATAAAGAAGGCCCTTGTGTGGACACGGTCCCAGGAGGAAGTAGCTGGGAGTGGAGACACAGCCACGCATCATCGTAATTGCATGATTACATATTGAGGTCAAGGTCACGCAGGAGACAGCACCATCCCACATTGGATCTGCGGGTTAGACAAACTCATTTCTAGAGCAGAGGTCATGAAGTCTCAGAGTCACCACGAGTGTGTGGGGTATCAATGTATATTCCCAGCTTTTCATTCTACCAGCAGTTTCAGCTCTGTTCCTGGGGACGTGGGAGTGGTTTTTTTTTTTTTTTTTTTTTTTTTTTTTTTTTTTTATCCCCAGTTTTGTATTTTGGGGTCTTGGGAAGTGGGAGCAAAAAGTGGAGTGGTCAGCAGCCATGGACAATAGCTCTGCTGTGTATGACCTTGGATATGCTATGGGATGTGAACTTCTAGAGAGTGAGACTAATTAGTGCATGTCTCCTAGGCTTGCTATGAGGTAATGCGAGTGCAGGACATAACACTAGCACATATCGGCCACACTGTACTTGCACTGATATTGTTATCTGGTACAGCTTACAGGAGCTGAGGGCCAGGGCAGACGGTGAAATCAGGATGACCATAAAGAACAGAGAAGAGAACACACAGACAGGATGGAAACAGGAGTGGGGGGGGGCACTAGAGCCAAAGAAACCAGTTTCAGCTGTTTGCTGTGTACACATTGAGCTTGCCCACATTGCCCCAGAGGCTATGTTGGGGATAAATGGAGATTTTATCTCTTTTCTAAATGGCAGTTCTCTGAAGCAGCAATTAGTTAGTAGCTGCTTAAAATGAGTACCAATGAGTTATCTGAGGTTAATTAACTTCTCCAGGTCCCCCTCCCCCAGCCCCCCAATAGCAAGTGGCAGATGTGGGCGAGCCTAGTGCGGCTCATACTGTGAGCCGAGCCAGCATCTCATAGCTGCTCTTCTCCTCCTCCTCTTCCTCCTCTTTCTCCTCTTTCTTCTCCCTCCCCCCTTTCATTTTGTTTTTTTTCTTTTTTTTAAAGATTTTATTTATTATGTATACAACATTCTGCTTCCATGTATATCTGCACACCAGAAGAGGGCACCAGATCTCATTACAGACGGTTGTGAGCCACCATGTGGTTGCTGGGAATTGAACTCAGGACCTCTGGAAGAGCAGTCGGTGCTCTTAACCTCTGAGCCATCTCTCCAGCCCTTTGTTTTTTGTTTTTTGTTTTTTTGTTTTTTTTCAAGATAGGGTTTCTCTGTGTAGCCTGTCCTGGCACTCTGTAGACCAAACTGGCCTTGAACTCACAGAAATCCGCCTGTCACTGCCTCTCAAGTGCTGGCATTAAAGGCGTGCGCCACCACCACCTGGCCTTCTTTTCTTTTTGAGACAGGGTATTCTACTTTACTCATACTGACTAGCTACGCAGTCCTCTTGATTCAGCCTGTGCTGGTATGACATGCCTGTGCCAGCCACCATCCATCCGGCTCCTTGCAGCACGAATCCCAGAGTTCTTGAGGTAGGATAGTGGAAAGACAGACTTTGAAACTCTGAAGTCTGGCTTCTCCATCTCAGCACTATCAATTCGGGGCTGTGTGATGTGTCATTTAACCTCTCCGAGCCTCCACTTGTGAGCTGGAGGATGAAGGGACTCCAATGTGTCATCCACAGAGCAAGTCACAGCACTTGGCTGCCCTCATGTCCAGTAGGCCAGTTGTTGCTATTAAAATTATTTGTTATTAACTACTAACACTATTGATCTTATTTACGGCTGGGTGTAACCTTGGACAAATCACTTATCCCTTCAGACCCACTTTCCACAAGGGCATTGTATAAGAAAATGTGGGTTTTCTCTCCTCCACCCTTCCCTGCTTCTGGTCCAAACCTAGCCTGTCATCTCTGCTGCCTTCTTACCTAACTGGGTCGTTATGTTCATTCTTTCTAGTTTTCATTGATTTGAAGAGGTCTTTAGTATCCTTATCTACTGACGTTTGCTAATTAGATGGTGAAAAGCCACCAACTGTAGGATGAATTCTCATCTTAGATTTGTGACAATGGGGCAAGAGTGTGTGTGGGTGTTGTGTGTGTGTGTGTGTGTGTGTGTGTGTGTGTGTGTGTGTCTTGCTTAGCGGTGTCCCCATTTCCAGGCACTCTGACCTGTATGGGATGAGGAACCACCTGGCATCATTTACTTACTACAGGAGCCCTTGGGGCAGGGGGGGGGTTCTCAGCCCCCTCCCGCCCCCCCCCCCCCCCACCCCCCACACCGCGT